TAATAAAAATCAGTCCTCTAGATGTTCACTTAATTTTATTCCAATTTTGCATAAAACACAAGATAAACTAAATACTTGTCTCCAGAGTTTTATCACCAGAGTGGAGGGATTATCTCGATGGAGCTTTGTCTCTTTGTCTCTTGATGTAAATAAAGAAACCCTGGTGGATATTGACAGACTCCTTTATAACTTTATATGGAAGAATAGAATAGATTATACTAAGAGATCAGTTGTATCAAACTCAAACCAACATGGTGCCGTAAACTTGACTTTTCTACAATAAACAGTGTGTTTAAAATAAACTGGATCAAACAATTTCTCAGGAACACAACATCAATTTGGTGAAAACAATGGTGTTGTTAACCTTGTGTTACTTTGTAACTACAACATTTATAAAATCTCCTTAAAACTGTCCTAATTTAATAAACAGAAACAGTCGCTGCTTTATAAACAACTTTTCTCCACACAGATATGATATTTGGAACAACAGAGACATTTTATACAAACACAAGTCTTTATTTTTAGGCGACTGGTTTATTCACGGGATTCGTCTTGTTTTGCAACTTCTTAATCCAAATTTAGGTATAATTTCTTACTCTGAATTTTTGAGTATATATGGTCTTCCTGTTCCACCAAAGGAATATGCCATCGTGTATGATGCTATCCCTGCTGGTGTTTTAAGACTGTACAGAAATTCTGTTGTTAATGATCTGACCCCTCTACAACTGGATCCTGCTGTTACCAGATCTGTTTTCACTTTAAAGAGGAAAAACAACCGTGACATAAGAACTCTTTTTCAGAAAGACAGAACTGGTGTCCCAGTGGCCGTTGCTTACTGGAATAATCTATACTGGGACCTAGAGTGGAAGAAAATTTGGACCTTACCATTGAAATCTCTGTTAACCAACAAAGTAAAGCAAACATCTTTTAAAATCATTCATCGTTTTTACCCCACCCGAACTTTTCTTGTATAATCTAAAAAAGACTGATGTTCATTTTGTAGCCGTCAGAAAGAAGATAGTTCACACTTATCTTTGTGCTGCTTATTTTTGTACTTTTGTTGTTTCTTTTATCTACTCTGACTTCTCTCTGTGTTATGAAAAAATATTATCTGGCTTCTTTGATTACCAATAGACAAAACGAATTTTATTTCATTAATTTACTCATTTAACTGGTTAAATTTCAAAGACATGAATCCAAATTTTCTAATGCAAAACCGTCTTTTCAATGCTTTATGAATGAAGCCAGACAATATTTTAAAACTATACAACAGTCCGATAATATAAAAGCAACTCTTCTGGTGATTCAACCCCAGCCTGCGTTTTTAACCCCCGACATTGACTTCTGTAATGTTTGAAGTGCGTTCACCGAGGAAAAAAAATCCCGCAGTAACTTCCGGGTCACGTCTTTCAACATCCTGAGCAAAGCGTCGTGACGCTGTCGGCATACGTACAGCACGCGCTGAGCACAACTGCTTGTGCAACGTACTTTGTCCTGCACGTTGACATTGAAACGCTCCGACAGACGCCGCGCTGCCGGTTACAGGTTAGTGATTTAACCTGCTGGTCATTATGTGACCAAACTAAAGCGGAATATGTTCGTAATACGCTGTTGAATTAAGTCCACACATCCGCTAACATTAGTGTTGGATAACGTTAGGGCCACAACCCTACGTGCTGTGTTTTACTGTGTGTTGTTGTCTTAGTTGAAAAGCCGAATAACTCGAACATGAGGCGTGGAAGTGGGCTGTAACACGATGCTAGTGATATTAGGATAACCGGGCGGAGGCTAGTTTGACCCGGTTAGCTACACTACAGCTAAACCTGAGGTTACCGAGGGTGACATCAGTCAGAGTTAGCGATACAACGACAGTTTTAAATAAACACAGCCCACTGATCACAGCATGAGCCTAGCTGTGTTACGGCTGAGTGTCCACAGAGGTTCTCTGATGATCTTTTTCTTGTCCACGTGTTTAAATCCTAATGTCCTGTATTTGTTTCCCTGTCAGACAGGCTAACATGGGAGCCTCCTGGTCCACCGCAGAGCCCTCTGTAGTCAAAGCCGAGGCTATGAACA